AGCAAAAAAAGGGGGAAAAAAAAAAAAAAAAAAAAAAAAAAGCTGTTGAAAACAGCATTTGTTGAAATGTTACCAAAGGCAAGAGGCAGGGTTAAAAATCCTCTCAGTCACACTAGACCTTGTGAACCACGATAGGGGATTATGTACAGAAGCAGTAAATAATTTCTCAAGCACAAATGAAGCGTCCTGTTTAGTTCAGTGAGGTGAATCCACACCAAAAAAGCTACAATAGCATTCTTTGTTGTGTAATACGTCCTCCACTCCAGCTTTTTGACTAGGGTTCTGCCCCAAGCAACCTTAAATTCTGCCTTTTCATCAGTTTCACCCCAGACCGACTCAATATTTCAATCAGAAGTAATAACCTTGAATATGTTTATATGGATTTCTCTAATTGACCGTCTGATGTAATCTATCAGCACTTCTAGAAGACCTGCCAACCTGTCTATTGATTTCAGACCATGGACTTGAATGAGCTGGTATCATCTTTTTAGTTTTCGGGACCTTCCCGACAATTCTGCAGTGCCGGTCTGCAGTAGTCACCAAGAGCCTACTTGGTCAAACAGAGCATCCCACTCCTGGTTGATTAATGAGCAGAAATATCTCAGTCAATCAGTACTCAGCTATTGGATAATCACTGAATCCACCCATCTCCTTCAATTCTACCAAATCAAAAATCAATTTTTTTCCATTACCCCCCAAAACAGTGAACGTAAATCAGTCAAAAGCATCAACCCTACTCGTGGCATGGCCTTTAATATGGACAATTTGCCTCTTTTTTTCTATCCTATATTCTTGCTTTGGCCCCAGGAGCTATAAGATGGGTTGAAACAGGGGTTCCTTCCAAAGGGCTCCAGACCATCCCATGTAAACATGGCACCACTCACAGCTACCAATGGAAATTATCTGCGAAAAACAAAGGCTCCATGCAACTGCAGCAACAGGAAGTGGACCCAGCATGATGGAAAGAATACAACTAATTGCTAGGAGGTTCAACCCACTCTGCAAGTGGAAATCCACCTCCAGTACAGCCTTCTGCATCATTGATTTACACCTATGTCATGACACGTGTAGGACTGAAACTTTACCATACATTCCTATGCATGTTACCCTAGAAAACTTAAGTCTTCTTATGACCACCAAACATGGGACTTAACACCTGGTAGGTGCTTAATGAAGAATCATAACTAAGAGCAGGAGCAGAAGATACATTTCAGCTCGGATAAGTTCTATAAGCCACAAATGAGGTGTCCTTACTGCCAAACTTCCATATCTGATGACATGCAAAGAAGCAGCATCTGCAATTAAAAAAACAGATGCTTTTCAGGAAAAAAAAAATTAAATTGCATGGAAATTTAAGCTAAAGTCTCCCCTGAATTAAGCTTTACTCCTGATTTACTCCTAACTAAAATAACTGCAGTTACATAGTCAACTAACCATTATACTGTTTGTTTAAATAACATTTAATAAGCTGTGGGTTCATTAAAAATAACCAAGCAAAGGATTCAAAGGGTAATTTCCATGTTTTATCTCTTCCCAAGACCCATTAGCCTTCAACTTACTGCTTAATGATCCACAACTGGATGGCACAAGTGAAATGTCTCACATTTATAGTGAAAATAGAAGTGAAAACAAGGAAGGGGGGCGGTCATATAGAATCACAGACTTAGAGTATGAAAATCATCAGGCAGTTAGACAGCTAACCTAGAAGGTCCCATCTAGGTTAGATGTCCAACTCCTGACCAAGAGCCACCCTGCCCATTTGATGGTTTCCTGCAAGGGAAAATTCACCATTGCCCTTGACAGAACAAAGGGTATTCCTCCAAATATTCAGGCTGAAATATGGTGTAATAA